GTCATCTAAAGAATCCGACTAATCGACTCGATAAAGTAGGCTGGTTGTTATTATTAGTCCTCTTGGGAGTTTCAGATGTTGGGGGCGTTCGACGTGACCTTGACCCTTTAAACAAACTCTCGCTCTCAGCGGGCCCCGGCCTGAATCACCGGACAAGTAAAAGTGGAAAGACAGAATACCCAATTTTATTTTTAGACGACAATACTTACTCCCTATATCCACTATAAAGCATAATATACCTTTTTAAAAATTAAGTGAAGAATATTTAGTAATTTCGGTTATAGTAATAGTAATAATGATTGCTGATGTTTCTTTGTATTGGCAATTGTAATATGTACGATGAAACAAAAATACAGTGATGAACAAAGAAGGAAAACAAATTTAAGGAGAATTTAAAAGTAAATAATGCGAAAAAGAGTCTGCAAACGAGTTTGAAGACATGCTTTTGGTTTAATCCACGGCATATCAAGGAAACGTGTAGATCTCATTGCTCAAACTTTTCGTGACAGAGATATTGCAGCGCCACCTAGTAACAAAGGAAAGCATACAAATAGACCCAACCGAAAATCTAACGAAACACTCAAAAATGTGAACATGCACATCCAGAGCTTTCCAAGGCGTAAATCGCATTAAAGTAGAAACAAATCTCGTCGATTCTATTTATCTCCAGATCTAAATGTAAATAAGATGCATCAACTCTAGTTGGAACTGTACGAACCAGAAAGTGTTCTTCTTAGTCGTTAACCTGATGCAGGTATCGTGATATCATGAAGCTGTTAGGTAATTTTTCCAATGTTCCTCCACGTTTTTCTATCTTCTGCCAATCTAGCACATTCTGACAATGGAGCGCCAATGGTAGCAACAATATGGTCCGTGTATCGTGTAGGAGATCTACCTCTACTTCTTTTGCCTTCTACTTTTCCCTGGATGGTAAGTTTCTCAAGACCATTTCTTCGAAGCACATGTCCAAAATAGCTTATTATCTGTTCTGTTATTTGTGTTCTTAGTCTTTTCTTTATGTTTAGCTGGACCAGTATGGATTCATTTGTTCTTCGGGCCACCCATGGTATTCTCAGCATTCGTCTCCAGCAGTACATCTCAAATACATCTATGTTCTTTTTGTCTTTCTCAGTAAGGGTCCAGCATTCCGATGCATAAGTAAAAACTGGAAAAAACTAGACTTCTTACTAGTCTCATTTTTGTATCGGTAGTAATTTCATGGCTTTTCCAAATTTTTGTTAATTTTGCCATAGCGCTTTTTGCGATTGCTGACCACCGCTTTATTTCTTTAGTATAGCCTCCTTTGTTGGTTATTAATGAGCCCAGATACACAAATTTATCTACAACAGCGATATTGTTTATCCTAAACAGATGATTTTGATTGTTGTTAGCTCTGTCAATTATCATGATTCTCGTTTTATCCCTGTTTATTTTAAGGCCCATCGTTAAGCTTACGTCTTCTATCCGTTGTAGCAGGTGAATCAATTCAGTTTCAGAACTAGCGAGGATAGCAGAATCATCTGCATATCTCAAGTTGCAAATCTTCTTCCCGCCAATGGTGATGCCACCGTTCAGGTCCTCAGTAGCTTTCCGCATTATCCATTTACCATAGATGTTAAATAAAATTGGGCTTAGTATGCAGCCTTGTCTCACGCCCTTTGTGACCCTGAAACTGTCAGTTAGTTCCCCATTTATTGTAACTCTGGCATAATTGTTATTGTACAGGCTTTTAATTAGCAGTATCAGATGATTAGGGACTCCCATTTCAGACAAAACCTGCCACATTTTACTCCAGTTGACCAAATCGAAAGCTTTACTATAATCTATGAAGCACAAATATAGAAAGTGTTAGCAATCCTTAAAATAAAACCAAAGTTCCCGATAACTTCTCCTACCTATACTTTAAAGAAAACTTTAACTACAGGTTTGGCTCACTTCGATCAGATACGTGCAAAATATGTGATGTCTTAGATAACAAACTCAAAGATGTGACCCTCGACAGAAATGAACAAAAAGTTTTAGCAGCGGAAAAGAAGTTGCATGAAATTAAGGCTTTGATTTGTTTTTCAAGGAGCTGAAGCAGAAAACCACATTGTGCAAGCATAGCGACGAAGTGGAGGTTGTGACCTTTGACTTCCAACAAAACCTTCCACTTCCAAAAAATTTTTGCTATTATTATCAAACGTTGGCATTGTGTAGAAAGAAGTTGCAAAGCATATGTTAAAACTCTAAGTATCTGTACCAGGGTAGTCGAATGTAGTCATAACCATACCCATGAAAGTTTACCAAAAACAGTGTTAAACCGGGAAAAATTAAGTAATTTTGTTAAGTGGAAGGCAATAGACTATTTGTATGAAAAACCATTGACGTTGATACACAGTGAAATTAAATGAACTGGCACTGAAACTCTTACTGTAGAAGATGTTTGATTAGAAAAAATAGCAAAAAACAAATTGTTCCTAAAATTTCGAAGTGCGTGCTGGAAGTACATGACACATTGAACTCCATGTGAGTCACAGTCAGTCAAAAAGATCAACTTTTATTTAAAAACTTGAAAGATCTTCTTCTTTTTCTTGTATTATTTGTTTATTGCATGCTTTTCTTCAAGAATGTCTCCTATTGGAATATTAATAGAAAAAAGTCTCATTCGGTGCAGAATTGGACAGACACACTGTATATATAATAGTCTCACAAGTAACTATATATATCCCGTTTATAGCGTAATCCGCCTTTGGGTTCCCGTTCGCCAAGCCTGTCTATTCTGCCAGTCTTCTTCAAATAGATTTCTTGCTGACATGGCTTTTGAAATTCCTTGCATCCATGTTGTTGGTGGTCGTCCTCGTTTTCTTTTCTCTGGTGGTACCCATTCTAATATTTTTTTTGGTAGTCTTTCTTCCCCCATACGTCTAACATGTCCGTACCATGTCAGTTGTTGTTTTTCGATGTCTTCTATAATTGATCTTTGTACATTCATTTGATTTCTTATGTCCTCATTTCTCACATGTTCTAATCGAGACTTTCCCGCTGCTCTCCTCCAAAAATCCATTTCAACTGCCAAGAGGTTACCTTTAAGTTTTTGTGATAACTGCCATACTTCTGAGCCATACACGATTACTGGTTTCAATATTGTGTTATATATTCTTTTTTTCGTTTCCGGTCTTATATTTTTCTGCCATAGTACTGAATTCAATGCACCTATAACTCGTTTCCCTTTGGTTATTCTGTCTTTTATGGCTTCATCAGTTCTTCCTGTCTTTGTTAGTTTTACCCCCAAATATATACATTGATCGCATTTCTTAATTTTCCCGTCTTCTAAGTCGAGGTCATCTGCAGTATTTTCTCCTCCTATGCAAAGATATTGCGTTTTTTGTAAATTTACTTCGAGGCCCCATTTTTTGTACTCTTCCATTAGTTTTCTAGCCATATACTCTAGGTCTTCCTTGTCTTGGGCAATAACTACCTGGTCATCTGCATAATGCAGCGTGTATAACGTTTCATCCCCAATAGACAGCCCCATCCCTTTACACTTCTTTTTCCATTGCCTGAGTGCTTCGTCGATATATATATTAAATAGTATGGGAGATAAACAACAACCTTGCTTCAGTCCTTTTGTTACCTGAAAACCATTAGTAACCTTATTTCCTATTTTAACTTTTGATATTGTGTTGTTATATAGATCTTTAATAGCGTCGATTAGTGAAACGCTGATACTGGTTTTCTCCAATACTTCCCACAATTTCGCAACAGGCACGGTGTCATATGCTTTTGTTAAATCGACTAAAAGTAAATGCACTTCTCGAGATCTCAGTGTTCTTTTCTCGAGTATTTGGGATAAGCAAAAAATACTATCTATTGTGGATCGTCCCGCTCTGAATCCGTTTTGTTCTTCTGATTCAAAAGGACGGTATTCTTCGCATATGCGTTCTTTTATAATTCTCCATATAATCTGCTAAGCGTACTCGTAACAGTTATACCCCGATAGTTATTGCAATCTTCCTTATTTCCTTTTTTATGGATAGATGTAATCCATCCTTCTTTCCAACTTTGTGGCACTGGTTCTCCGTGCAAGTGCCTATTGAAAACTTCTGTTAGTATCTCGAATAGTTTGTTGGTTCCATTTTTTATTAACTCTGCATATATCCCCTCTGGGCCCGGAGCACGTCCATTTTTCAACAATGATATAGCTTTTTTAGTTTCTTCGATGTTAATTGTTGGAGGCTCTCCTTGAATCAGGATTTCATGTTGTTCTATGTTTTTGAATTCCGGTCTTTCTTCTACTAACAGTGTTTTATAGTGTTGTTCCCATTTTTCGGGCTCTATGGAGTGTATGGCTATTTGTTCTGTTCTGTTGGATCTGATGTTTTTTATAAATCTCCAGGATTCTCTTGATTTGCGGCCGCCAATATACGTATCTAATTCCTGACATTTTCTCTCCCAGCTTTGATTTTTTGACTCTATTATCGTGGATTTAAATTTATTTACCATTTCTCTATATTCTCTTTTGTGTTCTTGATCCTTTGTTCCCAACCATCTGTGATATAATTTTTGATTTTGATCTTTCATTTCCTGTAGTTCATCATTCCACCAATTATTTGTCTTTCTGAGTTTGTTTACTCTTATTCCTAATGCTTCTTTGGCCGCTTGATGTATTCCTTTTCTTATTATGCTATGTAACTCTTCTGTTGTTTTATGTTTAAATTCCTGTGGTAGTTGTTGCTCCAATCTTTTTTTATACAATTCTCTAGTACTATCGTTGTCTAAACTTGTTAGATTATACTGTAGTTGTTCACCTTCTGCTGAGTGATTTTCATTTAGATTTTTGTTTTGTTGGTGTTTACCGTTTCCACTTAGCGGTAGTATCATTTTAGCTTTTACTAGATGGTGGTCACTTCCACATTCGGCTCCTCGAAATACTCTTACGTCATGCACTTTTATTTTAGATTTTTGTTTCATTATTAGGTAATCAATTACTGATCTTAAGTTTCTTGTAGGCTGAGTCCATGTATATGTATGTATTTCCTTATGTTTGAAATACCCATTCATGATCCTTAGTGAGTTGTGTCTACACATTTCTATTAAGTTATTGCCATTATCGTTTGTAGTGTTTTCTCCATATGGTCCTATTGTTTTATCTTTTATTCTTCTACCAGTTCTTGCGTTGAGGTCACCTAGTATAATAGTTTCCCTTGTTTGACCTATTTGAGAGATAGTTTCATCTAGGACTTCATAGTATTTTATTTTTTCTTCTAACTAACTACAGTAAATCCAAAATTTGGAACCAATCATCAGGTACAAACAGTGAGTCAGAGCTCTTCAGATCTGCCCTAGGACATGCATTCAAAAGCCCTCTCTGGAAGCAAAAACATATAAATATTGATGAAGAAAGATCACCACTTGAGTTACGCTAATGACATAGTTTTAATAGTCAATGAACTGGGAGAAATCAAATATAATAAAAGATCTAAGAATATCGCTTGCTTGAAATCTTCTACGATCTAAAATTTATGTTACAGATGTCATAGAAAGGGTTTGTATACTAAAGTGGAAATGTATCCACTAATAAATGGATATCAAGACATCACAATGAGGATCGGAAAAGATGCAATAGAACAAGTTCAGGATTATATAAACCTAACAAAGAAAACCAAACAACAGAGATAAAAAGACGAGTTAGACTGGCATTTGCGGCATTTTACAAATTAACCTACATTCTTAAAAACAAAAGATATCCACAGCATTTTAAGACCAACGTATACAATCAATGCGTACTCCCTGTTCTCACTTATGGTTGCCAAACGTGGACATTTACAAAAGCAAACATGGACAAAATCATAAAAACCCAAAGAGCAATGGAAAGACAAATGTTGCACATAAGACTAGTGGATAAAAAGAGAAACGAGTGGATAAGAGAGAGAACTAAAGTGAGGGATGTTAGACAAGAAGTTAAATTGAAATGGAGATTTGCCGGACACAATATAAGACAAAAAGAAGACCGATGGAACAAAATTCTTATAAGTTTGAGACCGAAGAAGGCTAATTAGATATATAGATAGACAAGGCGGAAAACTTTGGGCACAAACAGGAGAGGCCTATGCTGAGTAGTAGAGGTAATAAGGGCTGATGATGTTAACAACACATTTTATGGTTCATTTATAACAAATTTTGTCAGATTTTTAAAATCCAATAAAATTGTTAGCATTTTCGGTGGATTTAATCTCAACTAGATAAAAATAATAAAGTAAATAATCAAGGTATACAGATATATACATTAAAAGCGAAAATACAAGGCTGTTCGTTTCCACGTGCTGTGAAATTGTCATAACTGAGGCACATGCCACTTTTATCCATGGTCAAGTACAACAATTTCCTAATCGTAAAAAGGTAATATACAGGGTAATAAACAACTAACGGAGCAGATAAAGTACAGGTTAGGTATTTTAATTATTTTTTCAATTTATTGTACTTTTATTGTCAATAGTTTAAATGAACTAAATAATTTAAATAAATAAAGTAAATTTTATTTCATATTGAGAAGGCGGGTAATAAATCTCTGTTAACACTTTTAATGCCACTTGTCACCAAAAGGCGTTTTGCTCTACTTGAGTGAGGTGCCACTGTCGCCAAAAGGCATTTTGAGCTAATTGAGTCACAAACTGTTTACACAAATTGCGTCGCAAATTCCCCGCCAGAGTGCGGTAGGGTCTGGTTACCCATACGGTCTACGGGACACTGGTATTTAAATTTACATTTGATATGATTTTTTTTTTTGTGGAAAAGTTGAAACAATAAAGCTTATCACTATGCACTGTTTATATTAGCTGAATTAAACTTGTTTGTTTTAAAAATTTAAGAACAAAGTCAAAACGATTTGGGACACTTAGCATGTCTTTTAGATTTCCTTTTAGGATGAGCTTGTTTCTGGAAAAATCATACTGGCAGCAGTCCACTATCACCTGTTTGATGGAAAGGAGGCTATTACAGTAGTGGCATACTGGAGGGTTTTCTGATGCCATAAGGTATCCATGTGTGACACGTGTATAACCTATTCATAGTCGGTGAATGATTATTTTTTTTCCTGTTCTTAGAGGAGATATTTAGGCGAGATAAGTTGAGTTGAACGTCATGCAGCTTAGTTTTTGTTTTACTCCACAGGTCCGCCCATGAGCTGAGGATTTTTTGTTGTATCAATGATCAAGGCTAAGTTGGAAGAACATGCTGCTTTAGCGGCTTGGTCTGCTTTTTGGTTTCCCAATATACCAACATGAGATGGAGTCCAGATTATTATGACTTTTATATTAGCAGAATATAGTTGGTTACAGATGGTGTGGATCTCCTGGACTAATGGATTTTTCGAGAAAATGCATCTTATGGAATGAATCGAGGAAAGACAATAAGTACAAATGGCGATTTTGATGCTTTCATTTGAAGTAGGATAGATTGAAGTTTTTAATGCTTGGAGTATTCCATATAATTCTGACTTTTAGGCAATCGCACAGAACTTATTGTCGTCGTCAGTGTGGACCATCGCGCAAAAAGACAAAAGAGGGAATGTAAAGGTAGTGGGGGCAAAAATATTGTTAGACAGGAAGTGCGATCTTTAGAGGCCACATTAAACAAGGAAAGAGAGTCTCTCTCCTTGTTTGACATCAAATTTAGTTGGGTTATGTTATTGTTTGTCCCAAATGTCACATGAAATTTTATTTATATTGAAGTTTTTTAACAATTGTGTCGCATTTAAGACTATTACCGTTAATAATTAATTAAAACTTTCTCGTCTAAAACACATTCTGAAAAATAATATATAGCTACTGTTAATAAGTGTCGGAAAATTTAAATTTGGCGCATTCGCATTTCCGGATATTTCCGCCATCAGAGGCCACTTTTTTGGTCTCCTTTTCATAAGGAGTAGATTCCCTCTTTTGTCTTTTTGCTCGATGGTGTGGACACAGCGATCATTCTGGCTATGATGATTTTGTTAGTTGCTATACGAAATAGCTGTGTTGAGGTCTTTCTATACCATGCTCTCAGGTTAGCAAGCCAGGATATTCTTTTTCGTCCTGGGACTCTTTTTCCTTTAATTTTACCCTGCAAAATGCTTTGGAGTAGCTCGTATCTGCCTTGATTTCTCATTATATGTCCCAAGTACTCCAGCTTACGGCTCTTCACAATGTTGACCAAATAAATTAGTATTGAAAATTGGAAAATTGTGCATCCATGGAGCTGTCTTGGGTGTATAAATAGAAGTAGTATTATAAAGGTTCTTTTTTTGTATATTGTTAATTTTGGTCTAAATGACTGTGTGCTTTCTTTTATTCTTTTATAGAATTTATTTTGCTGCTTAGTTAAATGGTGTTATTCCATATTTTATTATTCAGTATAAATATTGATTTGAAATTAATCACAATCTTATAAAATCCGATCTTTAATTAGCCATATCTGGGAAATACTGATCTATTATTTCTACCTAGCTGGTTTCAATAGTGAAAGAACCTAGTGAGACAGTTTCACATTTTACTTAATAACATACTTTCCTTCTCTATAAAATGTAAATCTGATAGATACTCACTATTAACGAACTTTCCTTGTAAAAGTGAACTAGTAAAATGTAATCATAAAAGTAAATTAGTTAATTGGTGTGAAATTATCATTATTATTGTTCAAATAGCATGTTTCGTATTTATAAACATTAGCTTGAATTGTTTAGTCGTTTTTTAGGAAAATGAAAGAAATAGTGGGCATTAGTCTGATATTAAAACCAGCAACAAAAAAGAAATAACATTTAAAAACTCTGTCCTTGAATATTATTAACAAATTTGATTGAATTTTGACAATGTGCCAGTTTTTCATAAAGAATTTCCAAATTCCGAAAATTTTAAATAACGCTGGGCTCATAACCGTTAATATCTTATTATTGTACCGAAGCTAATTTCTTGTGGCATGTTAAAGTTATTACTATTTTAATGGGAATAAGCCACAATTTAAGTTTAAAATAAGTTTGTTTATTGTCGTTTCAATTTCGAAGAGGAATTCAAAATTTTCGGAGGTTGGAAATTCTTTACGAAAAACTGGCACATTGTAAAAATTCAATCAAATTGTAAACTCAATTGTTTAACAGCAACAAAAATATTAATTATAAAAAGTATTCTTTGCAACTGCCAAATCTGCCACACACGTCGGAGACATAGATCCGGTTCAGTGTAACGTACTACGCTTTTGTTTTTAAAAGAAAAAAAAATCCATTGCATCGCATTTCAATAAATATAATATCCACTGTTGACCTTCTTCGTATCCTTATCTCGTATTTTTATAATTAAAATACCAACTTTTGATATTGCTTGATGCAAAATACCTTACAGACCTTGCAAACGGTTGTGATAAAGACGAGCGATGTCCTTGCAATGTTTTTTTTTTGTATAAAAAATAATCCAGATAAGCAATTTCGCGTTCTCAAATATATGATTGGAGTATGCAAAGCAATTAACCAATCAAACGGTATTTTAGAACATAATTTGACGGTCACTATAAATTGCGTTTGTTAAAACCACGAAATTGTGTATGCTTTAGCGGAATTTTACATATATTCGTTTAATTACATTCGTCATTTTTTTTTAGAAATTTTAATTGGATATATTTTTTCCTCTGCTATCACATTTCTTATAGATTTTTGCCATTTAAGCCAAGATGAGCCATTTAGTAGTTGTCGAATAGTTTCATGTTTAAATGTGATATTGTTTCTTGCGACAAATAGCTTCATTTGGACCAGATTGGATCAATCAATCAATCAATTCAAGGAGGAGAAATAATTAACAATATACGGTACTCCGACGATAATGTGATTCTAGCTGAAAACATCGACGATCTGCAGGAGCTAATCAATAGAGTTGACATGGAATGCACAAATTGGGGACTGTCGATAAATATCGATAAAACTAAATACATGGTGACCGGTAAAGTGGATATCGGCGCAACCCAACTGATATTAAACCAACAACCGCTGCAGAGAGTTCAGAGATTTAAATACCTTGGATGTTGGATTGTTCAAAATATAGATCCATCATTCGAATTTCGATGTAGAACTGAACAGGCAAGAAACTCATATCAAAAATTCAAGCCTCTATTATCCAATAACTCATTAAATTTGGAAATCCGTGAAAAGTTTACAAGATGTTACGTGTGGTCTGTACTTTTGTATGGATGTGAAACTTGGAATTTAAACGCCGATATCATGAATAAAATCGAGGCGTTTGAGATATGGTTGTATCGAAGGATACTAAAAATTCCATGGACTAGCAGAACCAGAAACGAAGAAGTTCTTCGAAGAATGGGACATCAACGAACTCTATTAAATATTATTAAGAGGCGTAAACTAGAATATCTTGGACATATAATTAGAGGACCAAGATATAAGTACCTTCGGCTAATTGTCAACGGTAAAATCGAAGGAAAGAAATGGATAGGACGGAAGAAACTCTCTTGGTTGAGGAATTTGCGGCAGTGGACAGGTTTGACAGCGAACCAATTGCTACACGTAGCGCAAGACCGAGATCAGTATAACAATATTATAAGCATGGTAGTCGCCGATGTTCCGTAGGGATATGGCAGGCACTCTAAGAAGAAGAGGTTCAATGGGGTAAGCTCGCAACGATAAGGTGGCAATTGTAGTAATAACATTCGTGTTGTTACTTCGGAAACCTTTTTTGGATGGTGCTAGAAGAGTCACCAATGGAGACACTGCGGACGGCAGCCAGATTGTTGGTGGAGAAGACCGCCCTGCCAGAAGTGATGTTCTTCATCTAAAAATTTCACAAGCTTCCCCAAAAAGAAATGTACGTTAACCCCCACTTTAAAATGACTGACCAGACTCTATGTATTTCTAAGAAGGTAAAAACATTTCCCTTTAAGGTTATAATGAAAATATATTGCGAGAGTTAGTGTTTTGTTAAGACCGTATGAGGAAAAGTCTGTAGGAAGGCCTAGACAAAAG